GGAACATATAGGCGTCCTTCGAAATAGAGTAGGTTGTTCTTGAATTCAAATTTAGAGGAATCATGAGATTTAGAAGAGTTATTCTTGATATCATGAACAAGAGGATCTAAAGAAATACTTAACTGGACTTGCTTAAGAAAAGTTAAATCAACAGTCAATGTTGATTTTATTTCTCGAAGATGAAGTTGCTCTGATTTCAAGAGAACCATTCTTTGTTGCTCAAAAGCTGCATCTCCTTCTTTTGGTGCAAGATAAGAACGTCTAGACAAAGCATCAGACAAACCTTGTTGTTTTACTGGTCGATAAGTGATGATGAACTCGAATCTTGATAAAGACATGCTCCAACGAGCTTGACGACGATTTAATATGCATGCTGATATGAAATATTTGAGGTTCTTGTGATCCGTATACATGGTGATTGGACTAGAAGCGCCTTCTAGATAATGACGCCATTCTTGAAAAGAATCCACAATTGCAAGAAGTTCTTTGTTGTGGATCTCATAATTGATTTCTGCTGCTAAGAATTTTCTTGAATGAAAGGCTATTGGATGAAGTTTGTCATTTGTTCCCATTTGTAATAAAACCGCACCCAGAGCAAAGTTTGATGCATCTGTTTCCATAAAAAATGCTTTGAAAAAATCAACACGATACAAGATTGGTATAGAAAGAAATGTTGTCTTCAAAGATTCAAAAGCAACTTCCACTTCTTGATTCTATTGGAGTTTGTCTTTACAAGTCAAACATGTAAGTGGAGCTACAACTCGAGAGAAGTCTTTGATGAAGATCCGATAGTAGTTGGCAAATCCCAAAAAACATTGGACATCTCTTACCGTTTTTGGGATCTTCCAATCTATAATAGTTTGAACTTTGTTAGGATCCATCATAAGTCCATCATTTGAAATGATGTAACCTAAAAAATTGACTTGAGTAGTATGGAATACACAATTTTCTATCTTGGCATAGAGTCTTGTATCTCTTAATTTTTGTAACACACGACGAACATGAAGTTCATATTCTTCTAGATTCTTAGAATAGATCAAGATGTTGTCTAGATAACAGACTACAAAATCGCCCAAAAACTCTCAAAAAACATCATTCATTAGATGTTGAAAAGCTGCTGGTGCATTCGTAAGTCCAAAAGGCATGACATTATATTCAAAATGTCCATACCTAGTTCAAAATGCAGTCTTCCATTCATCTCCTTCTTTGATGCATACTAGATTGTATGCTCCCCGAAGATCTATTTTTATATAGATCTTAGCTTGATTCAGTTGATCAAGAAGTCCAGATATTAAAGGTAGTGGATATCTGTTCTTGATGGTAATCTTGTTGAGTCTTCGATAATGTCAGAACAAGAACTCGATGAAAGCTAAAGAGTAAGTGAGACTTTTCTCAAAAAGAAATAGGACAAAATAGAAATATGTATATTAAGAAAGAAACTGGAATGGCTATTGCCAAAATACAAGAAAACTAGAGACCCTTGAAACTAGACTAGAAGCAAGAAAGGAGTTGACAAGAGTGAAGAGGGCTTCACTCTTGCCTCTATATATACTATCTAACTAGAAGCCACATGGCGATGTTCTATAAGACCTCCAATATATGTTGACTTTCTAGGCCACATGCCTTTGCTTACAAGGCAAGTTTTCTATAGATGGACCACGTAGTTAGCTTGTTCTTTAAGCTTCCAACATGTGTGGCACATGGCTAACTTGTTGACCAAGTTTCTAGCCTAAAAGTCAACTATAGACTCCTATAAAGTCAAAGCACCGTCTATGAAGCTTCTAAGAAGCTTCTCTAGAAGATATTATACAATTAACCTACTTTTATCTACTTTTACATACTTTTATCTATTCATATAGGTAATTATATGTATGTCCGTGACATTATCCCTCACACATCTGCAACGATCCATCTTTTTTCTTCACAAATAGAATTGGAGCTCCTGTCGGAGATTTAGAATGGCGTATGAAATTCTTGGCTAGATTTTCTTCAATATACTTCTTGAGTTCAACCAACTCATTTTGTGATAAACTGTAGATTGGTCTGAATGGCGGTTGTGCTCCTTCTTGAAGGTCAATTGAGCAATCATAGGGACGATGTTTCGAGAGTGTATCTGCATTCTTTTTTTCGAATATATCTTGAAATTTTTGATATTGGTTTGGAATGCCACTTGAAGTCTTTTCACTAGTAGGAATAGTTGTGGCATAAATAATATATGGTGATTCTTTCATAGCAGCATGCAAGAAAGCTTTTGCATCTATAAATACAGATTTAATTGAACTGGACTTATGACTCTCTACTTGATTAACTACACTGTTAGTTATACTTTTAGAGAAAGTAAGAGTTCGGGAAATCCAATCTATTTGAGGGTTATATTTTTCTAACCATGATAAACCTAAAATGACTAGATTAGAGGGAGATCTAATGATATTAAATACTACAAAACTATTATGACCATTAATTATTACTTCTATAGGAAGGGTTTCATGAGTAATATCTCCAGAAGACAATGGACGACCATCTATGACTTCTACATGAACAAGTTTAGTAGTCTTTACTAAAGATATACTATGTCTTTTAGTAAATTCTTCATCTAAAAAACACGTTGAGGCTCCCGAATCTAACAAGGCAGAGACTTTGTAATGTTTAGGTCCTAAAATAATATTTAATGTAAAACAAGAAGAGGGCTGTGAGGAGAGAATAGGACTTTTACTAGATGTTGTGCAAGGTTCCAGCCGCACGGTCCCTATTGTAGCTGGACAAACTCGTTTTCTGACATATTGTCTTCTTTCACAACCATACTCCTCATTTTTAAATTGCATCATTTCTTTGGACAATGTTGAGCAATGTGCTTTGGTTCTCCACAATATAAACATAATCCTTTTTGACGACGACGAGTCTTTTTTTGCTCAATAAGACGTTTGAAACGTACTGCATCAATTTGCATATCCTCTACTTCCGAATGTATGTGTTGAAGAGGTGTTGGTGTTACCATTGAATTATAGTAACGTTGAGGTCCACTTGTACGGTTCTCAGATCGGAATTCAAAAAGATGATTGTCGCCCTTCACAGCAAAGTCAATTGTTTGACTCAATGTTTGAGGATCACGTAAGTTGAGCATTAATTTTTTTACATCATATTGTAATCCATAGAGAAATTGGCTAATAAGTGCACCATCATCCCACTTGATATCAATTGCAAGTTGTCAAAATTGTGAAGCATACAACGTTACTGATCGATTGCCTTATCTTAAAATATGGATCTTATTGGTTGCAACACGAATTGCATCATGTTCTGCATACATGGATCGAAACTCTGCCAGAAAAGCCTTTAGATTATCCAATATTGGATCTCGTCGTTCAAAAAAAGATGAAAACCACGATAGTGCTGAACCTGAAAGAAGCGTACCAATGAATCTAACTTGCGATCCTAGAGTTGGATATCTTTGGGATTGAAGTTCAATCACAAGTTTCACTTGATTGATAAATCCTTGAAACTTGGATCTGATGCCATCAAACTTCTCACATATGGCAATTCTTGGTTCTCTAACACTGAAAGGGCGTTCTACCATAGGAGAAAGGACATGGTTTGGTGCAGATGTTGAAGCAGCTCCAACTATTTCTATATTTTCACTTCCTGCCAATCTTGTTGCTTCTTGTGGTGGTAAATTGAGTTGATGCATCGCAAGCATTAACTCCCTCAATTGCTCTTACATTTGTGCCATTGCATTTTTCATTTCAACAAGTTCTATCATGATAACACTTAAAAAAAGAGAAGATGTCTAATATCGCTCAAGACAAATAGAAGAGAGGACTTGAGAAGAAAGAAAATACTAAGGACAATATCAGTTTAGAAGAGGATAATCCGCAACTTCTAATATGCTTATATCTTATCAAGAAAAAAGGATAATCCACTCTTAATCAAGATTAGACAAAGCTCTGATATTATAGGTATACTCTTCTCAATCTGTCAAAGACAAGAACTCGATGAAAAAATAATTCAGACAAGTGAGCCTTCACTCAAAGAAAGGTAATAAAATATAAATAAATAAGTATGTATATTGAAAGAGAAACTAGAATGGCTATTGCCAAAAGACAAGAAAACTACAGACCCTTAAAACTAGACTGGAAGCAAGAAAGGAGTTGACAAGAGTGAAGAAGGCTTCATTCTTGTCTCTATATATACTTTCTAACTAGGAGCTACGTGGCGACGTTCTATAGGACCTCCAATATGTGTTGACTTTGTAGGACACAAGCCTTGACTTACAAGGCAAGTTTTTCTATGTGTGGGCCACATAGTTAGCTTGATCTTCAAGTTGACAACATGTGTGGCACATGGCCAACTTGTTGACCACGTTTCTAATCCAAAAAGTCAATTAAAGACACCTATGAAGTCAAAGCAGCGTCTATGAAGCTTCTAAGAAGCTTCTATATTAAATACTATAGAATTAACTTACTTTTACCTATTTTTACTTACTTCTACCTATTTGTATATGTAATTATTAGCTTACATGAGTATGTCTGTGACATACCTCCCCCCTTCTCCTCCTAGCTTACAAACATTAAAACTCTTATTTACACTAAAATATTTTAGAGTGTATTTAAAATATAAGATTTGTCTAGAATGGCTTATGGCATTTATATTTATACATATATGTTTATTTTTTATTGCTTAAATTTAACAAAATTTCATAACATATCTCATGTAGTTCGTTTATTTACTTTAAATTACTCATTTTGTTTTGAGAATATTTTATTATAATTGAATGTGACTGCACAAGAGGATGTTCGCCGAATGCAGCAGCAGTCCAGGGCAGCGGTTTGTGGAGCACGTGGAAAGATTGTGGAGCATACAAGTCAGCGAGGGGAGCATGATGGGGAATCCACGGGGTCTATTTCGTCCTGCTGTGTGCCTCGTGCGTTGGCCCTCGTTCTCGGTGGGAGCCGCGGGAGCAGTGATGAGATTCGCGAGGGTTCGCGGCATGTTTGATTCGGGTGAGAGAGCGAATGGAAGCAAGAAGTGTCGTGGGGGAACAGCGTCTGATATGAGGGAGTGTGAGCAGTTCCGGGTCTTGGGACGCTGTGCATTTGGTTGGCGCTACGTGGGTGTGTGGACGGATTGGGAGCGTGCGATACGGGTGCGCATGGCATGGCGAAATGTTTCCGTGGGGGTTGGGAAGTGTGTTTGAGGTTGTATTGTTGCGGAGATGTAGCAGAAAGCTGTGCGAGTGTGGTTGTAGAAGTTGTGCGATAGCCGCGACCGTTGTGTGCGATGAGGCAGGGTAACTTTTATGTTGTTCACGTTTTGTCGAGTGACTTGATTGGGTGGGCATGTCGGGGTTGTCGATGAAGAGGGCGTGGACTTTTGGGAGCGATGGTGTGCAGAAACTGAAGGTGCAAAAGTGCTGATGAAGTGGACTGCATTCAGCGATTTGCAGTTGGACTGAAGAAGCAAAAGTGTGCGGATGAAGTGTGCTAAGTGGGCAGATGAAGTGTGCTAAATGTGCTAAGTGTGCAGATGATGTGGAGTGAATATAGCGATCTGGAGTGGGACAGTCAACATAGGAAGTGGAATCGAAGTGGAGTCGAAGTGGAGTAGGTACAGTATAAAGAGAGTCAAGGGAACCACGTATTGTTTATTCTCACCTTTCTCCCTCTTGTGCATCCTTCTTGTGCAGCATGGCGCTTAGGACCCTGAACCTGGTTTTCCTACTCCTTTGCATGTCTCAAGCTTTGCCGAGGGGAAGCTTGAGTGGGGCATGCCACAACTCGATGGGGACGAGGAAACATTTGAGCCCTAGAATTCCAATGTGGCTTCCTGTGCCGGGTGCACTGCCTCCCTTGGGAGAACTTCTTCCCCTGCCAGCCTTCATTCCACCGTTTTTGGATCTTTGGCCGACTACTACTAGCTCATCTACTTCCACTCCTAGTGAAGTGAAGGAACCTTAGAAAGTAGAAGTAAATTGTTTAATTGTGTTTTTTTGGCTAGAAATCCAAGAAAATTGTAGTTTACTTGTGCAAATTTTGCACTTGTATAAAAAAACAAAAAAAATTGTAATACAACTTTCAATTGAACACGATTTTTGAAATTTAAACCCTGGTGACTAGTTGATTTGCGAGTAGTTGATGATCGAGTTTATTTGCAAGGATGTGTCTTTCTGTGATCGCCATTGACTTGTGATACAATTTCGGGCATTGGAGTTTGAAGCTTGAATTTTGGGTTATTAATGTAATTGTGATTGTGTTATATATATATATATATATATATATATATATTCATGTTTTTGTTTCTTGCTTTTTATGTTGTGGTATGATGATGGTTACGTTGGATCGGAAACCGCAAGTTAGCAAGCATGTTTGAACGCAATGCATCAGCAGCAGAGTCCTCATACAATTGACAGCGATGCAAGAGGAAGCTTGAGCATGGCCTAGGAGTATTTATTCAGCGGAGGAATAAAATACAAGAATGGAGGAATATATATTATTTTTATGCGACTATTTGCTTAACGAAATCAACAATATCAACCACAATCATTGAGGGTTACTTGATTGGGCTTGGGAAGCTTCCATACGGATCCTTCAGATTGGCCTTCAGTGATGTACTTCCTGTTCTAAAGTTTTTCCAAAATTTAAAGCAGCCAATGTGTGTACCGTGAAGCATTTATGCTCCAGGATACAGCTTTGGCATTAGCGACTGATTTTACTATGAACAAAAAACCAAAAAGTTAAAAGTTCTTCTGTATTTTTATCTCTTCATTATGAACAGAGTATTCTTTGTAGCATTGCCATTTAGAGGGCTCCCTTATGTTCTAGAATGGCTAGAGCTTAATGATTTGTGTTTACACGAAATGGAGTATGTCTAGTGTTCAGATTATGTGATGTCAGATACAGACATTTTCAGAGAATGATAATTATTTTTGTTGTGGAGTTCTATTTTTTGCATGTAAAACTTTATAGAATTTTGCTGTATATAATTAGTTTGAGGCATAACATTTCTCTTGTGTAAAGTCCTAAAGTCCAAAAAGCCCAAGCCCAATTTCAATGCACACTCAAAGCCACCCCTTGCTTCCAACTCTGCCTTGCACACACCCGCGCATCCCGATCATCCTCTTGTGCAACCACAGCCAATCTTCATACTTGATATCAATGAATTTAAGTAAAGATAATTACTGCGAGGATAATTACAGGTAGGTGCAAAGACAGTTACTGCGAAGATAGTCATATTTGGAGAACGCCACCCACCGCAATTAACCGACAACTTTCATGACGAAAGCTTCTCGGTAAAAACATGACGGATGAACTACCTGTAGATTACTGTGATGTTTCCAATTTGGGGGGTATCAGATGTGAAAACTTCATGGAGTAACCAAAAAGAGTACTTCAAACGAAGAAGAGATGTTGGACAACTACATCAGGGACACCTTTTTGCATGCAACAATTTTCGAGAGTACAATTTTAGGGTAACAAGTGCATGCTTACCACTAATCCTACAAGACCAGTGAAAAGGGTATCACATAAGTGCAAGAGCGATTCCAAGTCTAGCTTTCTTTCACCAGTATAACATTAATTCAAACCACAATCTAGACTTCCATCAAGAACAACAATTCATACGGCTGGCATCAAGTAGGAAAGTCAGTTCTCAAACTCACTACAAAAAAATCAAAACAAACTCATCAATGGACATGACAAAGATATATCGAAAAAGAAGACATTGCGTGCCACGGCATTTTAAAAACATGGACTACAATCAGCGAAGCCATAACTAAAGTCCCCTATAACTCAATTTCAATTTCAAGGGTGCAAAATTAACACACTACGCAGCTAACCGTAGTGTAAATGAGCACAACTGCAGGATAACTGGAAAAGCATTCAGAAATATATCAGGAAACTGAATGCAAGTCTAATATAGTCGTCGTCTGGCTATGCAAACCTAGCCGCTGCCGCCCGAGTACGCCTTCCCCAAAAGCAAGATCTGCAACTGATCGTATCCCGACAACACTCCAGCTCCTGCCACCGCACGCAATATGTTCGCACCCGCACCCTTGAACAACGACTTCGTTCCCTCCTTCGCCACGATCTGCCTGAACGCGTCCATCGATCCGTTGTACTTCACTGCCTCTCCCGATGTCATCATCATCCTACGCCTCACCGTGTCGATCGGGTACGAAGCCAGGCCTGCTCCGATCGTGATTCCCCATCCCAACATGAAACTCGCCAAAAAGTTGCCCTGCGCATTCCACACAACAACACACCCACTCCCTCGTCAGTCCCGTCTCCCATCACCACACCAAGTCCCCCACACCCCCTCCTTTTCATTCCATCCTACCATTCTCCCATCCTACATTCCCCTCCCCTCTCCTCCCCTCCCCTCATCCAACCAATCCATACCTCCAGGCTGCCCACCAGCACCACCGGCTTCAACGAATCGTAGATTCCGAAGTACAGGCCCCTGTACACGATGATGCCCGCGCACGATATCATGAACCCTCTGTACAGCCCCGCAATTCCGTCCGTCGCCAGCGTCTTCTTGTACACGTCCACCAGCCCGTTGAACTGCCTCTCACCTCCTCCCTTCTTCGACGACTTCGCGTCGTTCGCCAGCCGCGTCCGCGCGTAGTCCAAAGAGTACACGAACAGCAGCGACGACGCTCCCGCCGCACCTCCCGACGCCAAGTTACCCGCGAACCACTTCCAGTATCCGTCCTTGTCCTTCTTGTACCCGAACAGCGACTTGAAGTAATCCTTGAACGCGAAGTTCAGCGCCTGCGTCGGAAAGTATCTGATCACGTTCGCCGTGTTTCCCCTCCACAACGACATCACTCCCTCGTCCTTGATCGTCCGCCCGAAGCACTCGCCGATCCCCTTGTATGGATGCGACAGACGCCCCGACTTCAACATCTCGTCCTGGTTCTGGATCAGCAGCTTCACCCGCTCGATGGGCGCCGCCGCCGTCTTCGACACCGCGGCCGACACACCTCCCATCAGAAAGTCCGTCATGAACGCAGTGAATGTCTTCTCGCTCGCGGCCGGCACGAACACATCCTGAGACATGTTCCTTGCACCCATCACGTTCATCGGGCACATAGCGCCGAACCCGCTCTGCCTGGCCAGAGCACCCAGCTTGGCAGCGGCAGCCAAAGGGCTGCTGTACTCCGGAGCAGAGTACATCGGCCGGCTAGGCGCCAACCTGGACGCCAGGTATGAAGATCCACCCATCTTGCTCACCACGGAGGGGCATCGAGGAGTTTCTGCCATTGTTCACAGAAAACCTGGTTCCTGCAGAATCAACTGCACCATTAGTGCTGAATGATGATAATATTGCACAGCGCGTTCAACGTCTAACGATAGAGAAACAATTCAACATGTAGACGTGAATTGAAACATGTCCGTCATCAAATCTGTCAGACGATCTGAGCACTATCAGAAGCTAGAAAGCGACTCGATGAAATCCACCAATAGGCCGTTGCAGTGAATTCACAATGTCAATACTGGTCAAGCTGTTAAATAATTCACAAAGCTTATTTATACAAAATTAACCAAGTTAGTCAAGGAATGGATCCACGCAGCGCGTATGACAGCTAAATAAAACGTCGATGAGGGTACGCAAGATGCATCAAGGGGTAAATACAGTGGGCACACATACGGATTATTGTAAGGCTCTTCATCTGAACGACGCAGTCGTAGCATTAGGAAAACCGACATAAGATACTACTTTTTAAAGAAAATCTCCTAAATGTGTCATCACACATGTGGAACAAAATAGATTGGCATCCCGAACAGGATACTTAGTTCAAGATACTTGACCATGGCCACGCCTTTCAAATTTCGTCGAAACATGCAACAATAGTATTACGTGTCCCCAACCGAGCGGAAAGATAACGTAACAATGTAGAAGTAACAGACGATAAGTGTTGTGAAACTGGACCATCATCGTCTAGAGTTCATGCAACCGCGTCTAACATAAACGACTTTACATACTTTACAAACCCATCGGCAACCTCGACGAGAGCCACAGGTTTAATCTGATAAACCAGGACGACATAGACACAAATCGAGCCACAGATAACTAAACCCTAAGACAACCACACGCTGCTAGATCACATTCTAGGCAACCGGGACAGGATCCACAAATTAAGAACCCCGATTACACTCAGAGCTACTCAAACAATAAAAACTTCCGCGGCCGGTCTAGATCATACTCTTACAAAAAATAAATAAATAAATAAAAATCACACGAAGACTGAGCACAAAAAGTCTCGGACTCTCACCCGCATTGACAAAATCGGAAGCAATCAGAGCAAAATCTGAACCGATCCGGAAGAGACTGTTAACAGAAAAAATTAATAGCTCGGAAAAGGAAAGAGGAGAATGAAGTACCAGTAGGAGCAGCGAGGATGGGGCAAGTAACTGAGCGGCGGAGTGGAGCACAAAAGCGACCAGCACGAGTGCGAATGAGAGAGATATCAAGTGAATGCTCGCAGAACAAATGCCTTCTGGCTGTCTGCCAGGCCAGGTCGTTGCAGGACCCGGGTCCACGATGCACTCGGTGATTGGTGAGTGCCGGAGAACGGCGCCCCCCCACCTCTGCCGATGCCGCAAAGAGGCCGCGGTGCCGGCAACTGAACGGTTCATGTAGCGGTGCACTTTGAAATGGATGAAGCGTGTTGAATCCCGTGCAAACGTTCACTTTGAAGTCCCGGAATTCTACCTTTCTGCTTTTTCTCCTCATTTACGTAGGCTCAATTCTCTTTTTTCTTTTTTCTTTTTTTTTTTCGGAAAAAACATGTATACATGTGTGTGTATGTATGTGTGGATATGAATATCTTTGATATATGTATATGTGTACATGAGTATGTGTGTATATATGTATGTATGTATATGTGTACATATGTGATATATTAAAAACAATAGTGTCTCTTTGGATATTATATTTCTTCATCCATCCATCTATGAATTTATTCAAAATTATTAGCCAATTATTATTTTATTTTAAAATCTTAACAAACAAGAAAGATAAAATAAGACTTAATATCAAAGGTTGATATTAAGAGTAATATTTTGCATTCTTTAATTGTATTATAGGTTTTTCACTTTGCAAAAGAAATATATTGTTTTATTATTTTAGTTTTATTGTTGCAATACTATTTTAAATGACAAATCTTAATCTCATTTATTTTTACATCTATTATAACAAAGTTGTAAGAAGTATATTGTCTTATATTTGCTAATAATAGGATTTCAAATCTCCCAAATTTTAGATTCAAATCCAAATTCATATTTATCAATTTGATATTTTTGTGATAAAATGCATTTTTTATTTGATATTTTTTTTACATTTCGAAGTGATGTTTTAAAACACTTGTATCATGTTTTCTTGCTAAGAGAGATCTTTGGTGAATCATGTTTTCTTTGCTAAGAGAGATCTTTGGTGAATCAACTTTGTGGTTTGAGGTGTTAAAAAAGCATAAGGTGTTTAAAATGCCTTTTATGGTACTATGAGGTGATTTGTGAGCATAGAAGTGATCAAAGACTTATAATTCTCATTTGAGATGTTTGCATTGTTCTTAGGGCTTGTAAAAAATCTTAAAAGTGAAGTTGAGTGTATTTTTAAATAGAAAAATATTAGTTTATTTACAAAAAATGCATTACAGGATTTTGAGGCAAAATACCTTCTTACTGATTTTGAAAACTTTAAGACTCCTTTTCTTGATCTTTTTTGATACATCTCTTTTTTAGACATGGTTTCAAGTGAAGGTGGAGGCTTAAGGGTCATTGAAAAGTTTAGAGGTGACAATATCTACCATTAGAAGATGAAAAATAAATCTTTTGTTGGCTTCTTTGGATATTGGAATATTATAGATGAAAGTAAAGAGCCTCCAAGCATGCATTCTAATATAAAGGACAAAAAAGAGCACAAACTTTATAAGAAGAAGGCTCTTTGATTGATTGCAATCAATATTGATAAATTTAACTTTTCTCACATTATTGCTTATTAAAGACCAATTAAAGCATGGAAGTTTCTTTACAATATTTATGAAAGTGAGAAATTTTCCAATACTCTTGCAAGAAATTCATCACTTGCAAGATAAAAGAAGATGAAAACTTTATTGCATACATCAATAAGATAAAGATACTTACAAATCAACTTGTAATTGTAGACAAAATGATAGAATATGCGGATGTTGTCATGACTCTACTCATGAATATTGCAAATCACTGTAGAAATTTACTAATACTTGACTAATATCACATCACAAGAACATTAATCATTCTTCAATTGAATTATCTCTCGAATTTTACACATTTGTTTTAAGAATTTTAAGAAAATCTGAAGTAGAGTGCTAACAAAATCAACTTTTTTGATTAAATCCGACTACTTTTGCAACTTTTTACTATGAAAAGTCATGTTAAGTTCCACAAAACATGGTTGTATATGTATAATAAATTTATTTCGTTATGAAAAAAATTTATAATTTCTTAAAAAATCTAACATTAGTATGTCATGAAAAAGGAATAGGTTAGAATATGCTCATGACAAAACTAGGTCATACTTCTCTTTCCGATGGGGCCAATGACCTCATCGTGACAGATCTACCACGGGTCGGATCTCATCCACTGAAGCACCCCATTCAACACATTCATCCATGAAACGATGTCTGAAAAACGCTGCCTTGATGACAATCACTCCAGTCGAACTCGAATAGCACACGTTCCCAAAAGTGAGAAAGGCTAGTGGAGGTTAGGGAACGGAAATGAAGCGAACGGCAAGGGTGGATTGCCTTAACCAAACGGTGGGTCACCGGCGAAGGACGGTGTCCGGGGGGAACTTGATCCGTTCTAAGACCTTCCAGCTCTATCAAGAGAAAGGCCTCGCTTTACATTCAGTTGCCAGTCATCTCTGTTGACACGAGTGCAGGGGCGCTACCGGTTACTCCCGGTTCTCGCCGGGTACCCGTGAATGGCCCCCCGCGATTAACCCGGCCAAGGACGCGAAGAGAAGGCGCATTTGACCCCTAACCCTGCCCACAACGGCCTTCTTTTTGATGCTCGCTCTTTGATCTCCTGGGGTTCTGCATCGCCGCCGCTCAGCGCTGCCCTTCTTGAAGGGTTCCCTGGTAAGTTGCACATCTTCAGTTCGTTTGTGTGATAAAATTGCACTAATCTTGTTGCTATGACATCGAGGAAGTCGGAAGTCCTTCCGCGTGTCTTGGTTTAGAGCGTGTTGGTGCGCGATCTCTTGCGGTCTTTTGCTTGCTCATTGTACGGAGCGAGGATGCGTGCCCTCTGGTGTCTATTTGCGTCAGTGGTACAATGGTGTCGATGTGCTTCATCGGTGACTTGCAGAGAAGTTTCAATTCTTCCCGCTTGGACTCGAGAATGTGAAATGCGATGATCTAATTTCTCGCCTCAATAATACAGCACACTACTTGGGAAACGCACCTCCTCATGTAGAGATCCTACTCTGGTGACGTGTTAGTGGAAAAGTGTCCTCCGCACTTGTTTTTGAAAGTTCAGATAGTACTTAATGTAGGTTTCTTCGTGTTCATATTATTTGGAAGTGCGCGTGGTGTTCTTGATGAATATCATAACCAGCGACACATGTAATCTGCAACATTATCATCGATCTTGATTAATCGAGTGGATTTATCTGTATGTAGATGTTTCTCCTCGTCCAGATCAGAGTAATTTTACTCGTTCATAGATTTAGAGGTTTCCTACAACTAACTTGTGATAAAGAGTCTAATGTCGTTTTCAATTCACGTCTACATGTTGAATTGTTTCTCTATCGTTAGACGTTGAACGCGCTGTGCAATATTGTTCAACAATTCAGATGACTAATGGTGCAGTTGATTCTGCAGGAACCAGGTTTTCTGTGAACAATGGCAGAAACTCCTCGATGCCCCTCCGTGGTGAGCAAGATGGGTGGATCTTCATACCTGGCGTCCAGGTTGGCGCCTAGCCGGCCGATGTACTCTGCTCCGGAGTACAGCAGCCCTTTGGCTGCCGCTGCCAAGCTGGGTGCTCTGGCCAGGCAGAGCGGGTTCGGCGCTATGTGCCCGATGAACGTGATGGGTGCAAGGAACATGTCTCAGGATGTGTTCGTGCCGGCCGCGAGCGAGAAGACATTCACTGCGTTCATGACGGACTTTCTGATGGGAGGTGTGTCGGCCGCGGTGTCGAAGACGGCGGCGGCGCCCATCGAGCGGGTGAAGCTGCTGATCCAGAACCAGGACGAGATGTTGAAGTCGGGGCGTCTGTCGCATCCATACAAGGGGATCGGCGAGTGCTTCGGGCGGACGATCAAGGACGAGGGAGTGATGTCGTTGTGGAGGGGAAACACGGCGAACGTGATCAGATACTTTCCGACGCAGGCGCTGAACTTCGCGTTCAAGGATTACTTCAAGTCGCTGTTCGGGTACAAGAAGGACAAGGACGGATACTGGAAGTGGTTCGCGGGTAACTTGGCGTCGGGAGGTGCGGCGGGAGCGTCGTCGCTGCTGTTCGTGTACTCTTTGGACTACGCGCGGACGCGGCTGGCGAACGACGCGAAGTCGTCGAAGAAGGGAGGAGGTGAGAGGCAGTTCAACGGGCTGGTGGACGTGTACAAGAAGACGCTGGCGACGGACGGAATTGCGGGGCTGTACAGAGGGTTCATGATATCGTGCGCGGGCATCATCGTGTACAGGGGCCTGTACTTCGGAATCTACGATTCGTTGAAGCCGGTGGTGCTGGTGGGCAGCCTGGAGGTATGGATTGGTTGGATGAGGGGAGGGGAGGAGAGGGGAGGGGAATGTAGGATGGGAGAATGGTAGGATGGAATGAAAAGGAGGGGGTGTGGGGGACTTGGTGTGGTGATGGGAGACGGGACTGACGAGGGAGTGGGTGTGTTGTTGTGTGGAATGCGCAGGGCAACTTTTTGGCGAGTTTCATGTTGGGATGGGGAATCACGATCGGAGCAGGCCTGGCTTCGTACCCGATCGACACGGTGAGGCGTAGGATGATGATGACATCGGGAGAGGCAGTGAAGTACAACGGATCGATGGACGCGTTCAGGCAGATCGTGGCGAAGGAGGGAACGAAGTCGTTGTTCAAGGGTGCGGGTGCGAACATATTGCGTGCGGTGGCAGGAGCTGGAGTGTTGTCGGGATACGATCAGTTGCAGATCTTGCTTTTGGGGAAGGCGTACTCGGGCGGCAGCGGCTAGGTTTGCATAGCCAGACAATGAAGAATTTTACATATCAGCCTTCGCTATGCGCTGGGCCTAGCGCCTCCGAAAGAGAAAAAAATTATTTGTCTGCCATGGGGACTTCATTTTGCAGCGCAGTTTGTTGTGTCCCTCGGATTTAGACTTGCGAGGGGTCGATGTCATGAGATATGAGCACATTTTTTTTGTCCTTCTAATAAGCTATTCTTAGTTTTTGATCACCTCATTGTATGGTACTTGTGCTTTCTTTATGTGTGTACAAAGGTGTCATGTCTTTTTTGGCATGTGGTTAGTGGTTTGTGCGTGGTGGTGTTGTCTATTGTTGTGGAATGAGTTTGCGGTATGTAATGAGCAAGGTTGGTTTGGAGCGTGCATGCCGGTGTGAAAGTTCTTTGATCATTAATGTGTTGGTCATCGGAGGGCTTTGTGTCAACCATATTACATCGACCTAGAGCTCTCACCTAGTGTTTATTATTTTGTTTTCTCTGGTCATTTAAAATATGTTGGTAATAACTATATGACATGTAATTATATTATCTACAATTAATGCAAATTGATTAAATTTTTGATTCAATAAAAGAAATTGATGTTTGCAATGAGCACCAATATGTTTACCAAAATATGTCGGTCGATTATTAATGGCATACCTTAAACAAATCCATTGAAGATTAAAGATGTCTTTTGATATAGATGTATTTTAATAGTGTAACATGAAGTATTTACATTAGGTGAAGTTTGTATAAAGGGCTGACACTTCCTTGGTTTCGTTGCCTTTTTTTTTCTTTATTTTTTTTTTCTATTACAATAAACATTACGATATTTTCTTTCATGTATCTTAAACTCTAGAATATACAACATGTTCGTCTTGAATGAAAAACAAACTACAGAATTATAAAGAGATGATAAACGTTTCTAACTAAAGTTTCCAGGAATGAATTCTTTCGCCTTCAATTCGTTATTCGGTATCTACTGGTACAAGCCAAACATCCTATTCTTCAAATCTCAGTGAGGAAGGGCTCTTTTTCTTTGTCATGGCATTGGAATCCAATTCACTCTCGCATTATCTCAACCTTTTTTCTACAGAACATGAATCTCTTGGTTGAGAGAATGATAAAGCAGCTCCTCACGTTTAACGAAATCTGCATCCAAAAATTTGGCGACAAAAGCCCATAATCTATACACATCCTCAAATGTGGACACAAAGCCAAGGGCTGCAGTCACGACTGAGATTTCGGAGTGGCGGTCATGCTTGCTGGCGTTTGAAGCTCGAGGAGAGTCAGTCTTGCCATCATTACTTTCCACTTCGGCACCTTTGTTGAACCATGATCCCTGTCTCACAATAACGATGTTAGGATGTATAGTACAGAGGACGAAACAAAGATTACTGACAGTACACTCCACAAGCTCTCTATCTCAAAGCTTCCAAAAGCACTGTCCAAATGGAAAAAGTAGAAGAAATTAGAACAGAACAGGTTCCTTTCTGCTTAAATAATACGGCAAGACGTCATGCAAATCAACTTCTTCAGGAACGCGAATGTGTCACCATTTAGTCATATTGTGACCATTTCGAAGCATGCATGACAAAGTTTGGTGCCAGGTACTGTAGAAGAAAAACCAGTTGACTTACAACAAGGTCAGTGGAGCCTTCAGGATACACAATATTGCAAAGGGTGCCGAGGCCCAAAGAAATGCTGTTCCGATCAGCCAAGCGCTGCACGAGTTCTGTTCGAATAGGTACTCCATTCCAGTCAAACAGGTTGAATGCCATCGCTTGACCTCTGTCCAAATGCACTTCGGGACCATAAATGTGCACGAGATTCGCTCCCTGCCTGTCACTTTGTGCTGGATGCCGTAGTTTGAGAAGGGCATTGACTATCCAGTTGATCAAATATCTGTTTCAGTAACCAAAGCCAACAGTAGCACTGAGTCGGTTAAAAGAAATGTGAGCTTCGCACGGAAACTTCCATGGTGCTAGGCGTCCAGTGAGCCAACATTACCTCCATTATTAACAATCGATAGATACGCTTCAAGCATTCCGTATGTACTATTGGCAGACTGTACCTTGACTTAGCATACACACAATATGCGTACAAAACACGGTACCAAAAACTGTAAAGAGAATGGAACTTCTTGTGTTCAGAAGTTTCATTCTCAACACAGTTGTTGGTGAAATAAAAAGCAGCAATCTTCTGAACAAGCTGTTAGGTCACTTAACCGGAATCTCAGATTGATTTTGCTGAGACCTTGAGAGTCAACATGGTCTAATCCACTGCAGATGACAGGATCTTCATCAAGCATGCCACTGTTGCTCGGTCCCACGGCATGGAAGGGTCCCTGCTCAGGCATGGCATACTGAACCTCCCACTGACTGCTACCCTGCGATCATTTCCAAATTTTTTGGATTCAAGAAGATACTCAGGCATGACTTGATTATTATAATATTGGATTGGTTTACAGACGAACATTAAATGGCAGCTCCGATATATAGTTAAAGGCAATTGATAAGCAAATATGTCCATGGTGGTTTATGGAGACATACCACTTCAAGGCTCAATGGTTGCACACGCCCCTCATATGCACCACTAAAATGGCCATCATTAGAATCTACAAGATCAGCAGATCGTGTTTGCTCCTCTTGAGAGGAGCCCTCTGCATGTCTCTCCTCTCGTGAAGAGTAATAAGGATCATCTTTGAACATTATGTTCGATTTCAGCTCATCAGTTTCTGACCTTGCTTCAACTTCGTTTACGATGTTCTCCCCGTGTTCATGCACAAGTAATTCCTGGTTTTGAGCCACTTGTAAATCTTGGTCCTGTTTATCCTCAAACCCACCAGTAGACTTAGGAGTACTACAAAAAAGTGGACTACAAATCGTAGAAGATTCATTATTACCTGAAATCATGCAAACAATCCTACACAGACGTTAGTAACGGATCAAACCACGGACAACGGAAACAGTTAATTTTAGGCCGGAATTTGTCAAAGTTAGAATGATAATATCTTAACTCGGTCCCAGAATCCTCAATTTCAGAAAAAAGAAAGTTCAACAACCGACTACCACTACGGATGACCTCTGTCGAATGGAAACAAATCTTTAATTGAACTAAGAGGAATTGGCAATCGCACACTTTGCAGCGAAATCAACTACGCCATTTCAATTGACGTTGTACAATTTCCAGGTACTATAGTCGATACAGGGAATGAAAGTGACTATGGTAAGTTAACACTCAAGTATTCCAGCCAAAATTATATGATCCACGTTGAACACCATCGCATATGGCACTACGAACACGAGCGAAGATGAAGGCCAGACAAACGACTTTATGAAAGAATGCTATTATGGGGTAGGGGATCCATTACCAGTCTCATTGTCAGCGGCTAGGTGTGAGTCTTCATATGGTAGTGAGGTATCAGCACACTCATCAACATCCTCCTGAATTCTACTCAGGAAGCGATTATCAACTTCCCTCGAAGAAGAGGCTTTATCCTGAGTTCTCAAAGCTCTCTCTCTATCAACGTTTCCATTTGTGATTTCTGTACTCGGATCTTTGACCATTTCTAAGAAAAAGCGATTCTCATCTTGTAGAGAATGTCTTTCAATCTCTTTAGAAGCACCAGATTTCCCCCCGAACTTTGGTCCTCTCCGAGTCAAAGGAAACTCGGGTCCACATGGCTCTTCCTCCATCTCATCACTTCCGGATTCTGAATTGCGGTTAGCCGTTCTTATTGTCTTATCATACAACCCAAAATAAGGAAAGAGAGATAAAACATTCATGACTTGTCTACACAGAACAATATCCCACATTGAATGCAATCAACCAACACTGCATTTCTGTATAAATATTTCGCCAACGACGAAGGCTCAGAAGAGAAATTTACCTCTTCCTGGAGGATCACGTCCGGAGACCAGTCCTTCATCGTTTCTGTGCACACCGAGTTTCCCTTCTCTACTGTAGATTTCTCCATGCAACGGATCTTTCTCTTCGTCGTCAGACACAAGAAAAGTTGGTCTACAACCATCATCCGATAATGCAACGTTCATTTCTCTATCAGAAGCAGAGATTCTATCTGATACGGCCTCCTCCCCAATGCTGTCTGCATGAACTTGTGCCATTGGACCAGAGAAAGCACTGACAGGATTAACATAATCTGCTGCATCTACATACACATCTGGAACGATCTCAAGGTCATCTGTCAATTGCTCTTCACCTCCTCTTTGCCCCTCGTCACTTGCCGGTGGCACATTTGAACTTCTTGAAGGAATTATTCGAACCATTCCCACACCCCGTGCACGATCTGAAGTGTGTAGATCTTGGATAATAGAGCTTTTTATAAATAAGCATCCAAAACCTGTCGGATCGCCCCCAAAAACCTGAAATGAATGAAGACGGTTGCACTAAGGTCAAAAATTAAACCTAAAACTATCAAGGACACCTTTTGTGTAATCACTAAGGGTCTGCTTACATTCATAATTGTACTTCTATCACAACATATTCACATAAAGCATACCTTGTAGAATGAGGTCACTATGAATTCAGGGCGGAAGAGGGAGAGGGCAAGTGAATCCATTTCCTTGGGAGCTAAAGCAGATGCATCCAGCAAAACGTGCCATTTGTTGGCCTGCGCTTGCGATATCCACTGGAACGAGTACTTTGCTCCAGTCACTCTAGACTGAACTGGGAAAACAAATAATCCCTTGGCAGTCTGATCTTTCTTCTTTTTCTTCTCTTGCAGCTTATACGTCAAATCAGTAGCTGCAATTCTCAAGTTAGGCCACTTAAATGATACATGCATGACTTTAGCGCCCTTTTCCTGAGCTGTTTCAACCATCCAGCTGACAGCATCACTCTCGTAATCATAGACTGTCAATAATCTGTTATTCACATGGAAGGGGTATGACTCAGCGAGTAGTTTGTATGCTGTTCCTCGACTGGCTGTAAAAACCATACAATAATCAGAATCACTCAAATTCATGTAATTCATAATCCTTTTCCTAATACAAGCCTCCACTGATCCTTCTTCTGCTGCTCCGTAGAGTGCATGAGCTGGCAGATTGGCAGAAACGTAGGCCAGATTAAATGATGAACTCTGCCGTTGAAACACCTGACATCCGAAGTACAGTATGTTCAATCACTGACAAAGCTTCAAAAAACACACGCAATCACCACGTAAGTCATCGCCGAATGAAAGTTAATCATCCGTCAAGCCTAGCGCTCTGTGGAGACAAGACATGGCGTAAGCATTGCAAATCGACATTGCATTGCACCTTACTGAAAAGCAACTCTTCACCATGAAGTCAGTTCAAGGGTGGACAGTTACTTAATGACGCACCTGCTGCCAGTAAGAGAAAAGACCAAATCCACAATAATCGAAGCAGGCATACTCTCCCTTTCTCAAATGGCTATATTCACGCTCCCGGAGCTGGTCCACTGCAACAGTATCCACGAATCTAGGATAAACCTGCTTAAATTTTTGGTAGGCATCCTCCAGCGAAGCCAGGCTCTCCGGATTGTTGTAAAAGTCCTGGGTTCCTAGCCCTAGTGCGGTCACCTTGACAAAGTCTTTTCGTGCACTAGTTCTTCCAGCTTGGATTAACCGATCTTTTGAAGCCTTGTTTGTGATCGTAGCTGCCGTGGACACCTTTGGAGATGGAGGGTTAGAATTAGAGACATTCGGATCCTTCCGCCCCTGATTTCGGAAGGAATGCCGTAACCTTGGCAAGCTTCTAATATCGTTTCCTGTGTGAACAACATCCTCTAGCATCGCGTTTTGACAAATTTTGAAAACCATCGGAGAAGATTACGGTCGCAATTGACGAACTCACTTAGCAGCGTCCCCTTCTCATCTTCTTTTCGTCATTGATCACACAAATTTGCTCCCATGTAATACCTCGCAGGCCTTAGCAGGGGCTGAAGGCATATTGGTGTCGATGGTTAAATGTTACCTTAAGTCGACGGTGGGCACAGTGGCAAGACTTTCTAAATCCTTCGCAGAAATCCACACCAAAAAAACACCTGCCACAAAACCTAGGTATCGCAGAGAGCGAAGGACACTACAGAATCGCTTTGAAACATTATCAGGACCACGACCTAAGAACAGAAGTTCAACTGTGTTGTAAAGGTCACGCATCGAGACTCATTCACCGCCGAAGAGAGTTTACCCATTCTTTTAACTAGAGAGCGAAATCCTACTTAACATGTTGTCCAAAGCCTGTGGATCAGAATAGGTCTGTGGTGTGAATATCATATCTAAATTTAGAGATCCGCAGTGGTAGGATGCTTGAGGTTCAATGAAAGAACCCAGCGACGCGGAGAAAGAGAATGGAATCTTTGCAGAAAAACTCATAAAAATGGAGGACCAGCACTGGTAATGCAGATCAGAAGTAGATGATTTCTAGAAGTAGATTAGCGAACATGACATTCCTTGATTTCCGATTCCGGACGGAAGGAGATAGATTTAAAAAGAGGAAACTTAGCCCTTCTCTGACTCGGAAAGTGATCAGCAAGCAAACCTGTGAAAATGGGACACAGCCTCGATGCAAGAGAAAGAGAGGATACGAGAAGCACAGGAAGACGATGAAAGGATCACAGAGGATTCTCAGGTCCGAATAAAAGACCTGAAGGTAGAGAAGCTTTGATTCAGCTTTGCAACACTCAAGGGCAAAATACTGTGAGAGTGCAAGAAGGAGAGGATTTGACGATTTGCATAACCCTAAAGAACCGCATCCCACGAGGGATCGTACAGGTTCAAAATCCAGAAATTAAGACTCTTCACATGAGCGAGTGGGAGAAAAGAAGGTCAATCAGAGCAAAAGTAATGAATGGCTTTTCTGCAGTGGGTGTCCGGCAAAGAGGAGCTGGCACTGAACAACTGAGAGATCCAGTTCTTTCCGGTAATTAAACTTAGTCAATGCACATCTTGACAGAGGGTGGACAGATTTTATTCGGTAAGCTGGGTTCGCGTCCTGCCATCCCAACGCTCTCATTAAAGCTTGGCACCCGCAAGAAATCATGATTACACTCGTCAACATTGACGCAACTCGCAAATCTTTTAAAAGACCATAACACTATGCGGGATGCATATTTACGCACACATGACAAAACACACGTCCCTGCGAGAAACCCTTCCTTAACACCCGTGATCACCCCAAAACCTCCATAGAGATCTGATGGGTTTTAGATGTCAGTCAAGAGAGCCACTTCTTGAAGAAACAAGAGCAAGTTGGGAAAAAGAAAAAGAAAGGTCCAATGCAGGCAATGGCACTGACATTTGCCGATTTCAAGCTTGGGAAGATGAACAGGCTTTATCTTTCGAACAAGTGATGAAGACGACGGCTGTCGGAACCCCTCAGAATTAGATATAGCATAATGAGGCATTCAAGGGCAGAGGAAGTGAGGTATCTTTGACTTTCACCGGCGCAACTTACGAAGCTCGACCCCAGGCGCTGAAAGATCAGAGCTCACCAACTTCCACTGCACACGAAGGGTGAGGGGAACAGCGCTAGAAACAAAGCCTGCTCCCACGATCTAACCACCCACCAGGGGGGCGATCTCACAACAGCCACGACGGCGTAACCAGTAGCACAGGACGTGCGAAGCAGCAGCGTAAAAAACTCACAACCCATGACCAGATGCGGATCAAAAACATGACACTCCGCCCTAAATTCTATCACCATGTTGTCGACGCAACGTGGAGCGTTCAATTTGACCACGTGCTGGTCGCATCCCGCCTATTCCCGCTCTCGGATGCCCTCACGAGGGGCTCCGAGGAGCCCTCGCCACCGTGGCGTCCCTTGCCAACTCACCGCGTGACGCCACTCGTGGCACCCACACCACGCCTTCAGTATTGTTGTACGACACCCTTGTTCGTAACATCCAATGCAAGTGTCATGTTGGAATTTGTGCTTATGAATTTTAATGTCCAATCATGTTTCTAAAGATTGAATGTTTATAGGAACTTTATTGATTTAAAAAAATGTCTAATACAAATTTCCTTACATCATAGATGCCTTATTTTATAGGTTTAGATAAAATATATGAATATTAAGATATGAGATATAGTTTTATATTATATCCTTTATTAAATACAAGTTTATTTCGAATTTATATATTTTAGTTTTGATTATTTAAACTCTTTTGAATAGTACACATTTTATTGTAAGATTTGTAACAATATAAAAATTATATCTTTTCTAACATACATTTTTATTATTTATAAGTCTAAATTGTATGAATTTTTTTATTATTTTATTATTATTTTGTTTCTATTATTCTATGTATTTAATCTTTAAATCATATCATCTTTTTATTTATATAGTATCTGAAAATATATTTCTATTATCAAAAATCATAATATTTTAAAGAAAATATAAGATTGATTCTAATAGTTGCTAAATTGACCTATTCATCCTAGCCATCATCAAAAAAATAGATCATCACTTATTTTAATTCTCCTTAACTAGATTTGCAATTAATAAAAAAAGTATTTAATCTATTTTTATCATGGTTACAATTATAGGAACATTTCATCATGATTATAATGATAAGAATAATAGAATATAAATAAGGATACTTGTTCTTAGATATTTTATCAAAGTTGCAACCACCTTTGCTACTAAGTTTAAGATGAATAGACTTCTTATAGGAATAAGGTGGATAATTATTTATCTCTCCAAATTTTGTGGGGTTGTTTCTTTAATGAATAATTTTAACTTAAAAAATGATTGGAAGAAAAATATTGTACAAATATATTTGTGTGTCCTATACAACTAGTTGCGCCAATAATTGATAACCAAAAAATCAAATTATTTCTTCATTCTTGTGACTATATACTTTAATGTGTTCTACATTGCAAGTAAGTTCTTTTTCTACACCATGTGGTAGACTTGCTTATGTAGCAAAAGACCAATGTGTGCCACATCAAAGCCTAGTTGCCTTAGGTTCTTTTTGTTATTGTCCCAAAGACTAGCCACAAGCTTTGCTTTTCACATTAATCTATCTTATTCAATACACCTCTTTGGATGCATCTACTATAAATTGGATCTAATTTGAGCTTAGATTGACCTTTGTATAGTCAATCATTGATCTATAATCCAACCACTAGGCATATGTGAATTTAGGAATATGCTCCATATGTTTAGTATCTACATGGAACATCACAATAAATTATATGTTCTTGCAACCTCCAACCTCAATTAATTACATTTATCAACTCACAAATTCCAACAACTCTGACATAGATTACAAATCAAAACTAGCGATATAATATTAACTCTGCAAATTGTAGGATATGTACCGGATGAGACTCAATTCAAATACTAAACTTTAGGTCTAAGACTTATATTTATAAGACCAAGCATGGAAAGTATAGAGAATAATGGTGCTAACATTTCAAATCCAATAATAACAACATGATTACAAGTTTCAACAAAAGCTCTACAAAAGAAAAAAAAAAAAAAAAAAAAAACAATCTCATTAGCAAAATCTTGTACATAGACATCAAAAAAGGCACAAGCTACCAAACTAGTATTAAGGTAAGTTATGCATGACATCAATCCAATAGTGTAAATTGAAATTGTATCTAGAATTACATATAAATTTGAATAGTACAACAACATAGAAGCAAGTATTAATATTTACAACTTACTCAAAATTATTTTACTTTAATGTCTATAAGTGACTTACAACTTGGTCATAGCACAATCAAAAAGTTTAAAGATAAGCTGTCAAAATAAAAAGGACTTAGTCCATTCAATAAGTATGTGTGTACTTCTCTTATAGGAAATGGTGAGGCATTGACTTTTGCATAAGTACAAGGAATGATAGTGCACAAGATACTACAAATAAGAGAGTTTGTTGGAATCAACTAAATAGATGTCTTCATGAGCATAGACAACTATGCAAATAGAATTAACAATAGGCCTATGTTATGTGGTCTATATTTGCAGTGGTTAATGCTTTGAAATCTGAAGAACTTCACTTAATTTTTCATTGATTGACATGGCTCTTAAAAAAAAAAAACTTATGGTTTTGTAAATAAAAATAATTCATTATTATATGAAAAGTTTATATATAAGGACTAGATTTGTAAGTTTGAAGGACTTTATTTTGATGTTTTCAAGTACCTTGTAATTTTAGACTTATCTTTTTTTTTAATCAAGTCTAAGATTAATACTAATTTAGAATTTTGATCTACTAAGCAATGGATTTATATTTTTTGCTAGCAAAGGATATTCACAATGTAGTTTTATTAGTCTTATATATAAAGTGGTAATCCAATGCTTATGCTTTGTTGGCTTTTGAATATTTGATTGTAGATGGAAGTAAAAGCTTAACTCTAAGTTATAATAGATATAGACCTACTTCAACAACCTTTGAATATAAAATCCAACCTCCAACTTTGAGATTTTTTATCAAATCACTTATTCAACAAACTTGATTGCTAGCAAATAATGAGAGAATAAAAAAGACTAGTATTTACAATAGAGCATTCAATTCTGCATAAGAATATTTAAGATATGATTATGTGTAATCAATAAAGGTAGTAGCACTTGTAATAAAGATCTTTCTTATAAAGACAATATTTTTATCTTATTTTGTAAACATATTTTATGACATATAATGCTAGAGTAAAGAAAACCATTTTTTTCCTTGTAATGGTATGATATAAGTTTCACAATACATTGAATTATAGATGCTTGCTAAGAAACAACATCAAGAGTAATAATTTTACTAGAAATGTGTATAAAATTTTATTTCAAAACTTGTAGTTGTTCAAATACTTGGATTCTTTAATATTTGCTATGGTGAGAGACAGTGGTTATGATTATTGAGCAATAGACTATTAACATGAAGAAATTAGGATAACTTATATAAGCACAATAAGATTAGTTTATATGCAAATAAACACAAATCATATTAGCTTGTATAAGAATATAATCAGATTATATTAGCTTACTAAAGTAATATTTTAATTTCAACTTATATTTAAATTAATTAACCAATGGATCATTATTAATCTAAATTATATTTAAATGAGATTGAAATACCTCTACTATAAATCCAAGTCAATTTGCCATGAGTCTAAGTTAATTTTCAATGCAACAACAACAAAAAGTGAAATATAAACATTACAAGAAGGGCAAATATAGATAGTATGTTTGATAATTTTTTAATTTTTACAATAGTATATATTTGCACTTGTACCTTTAATATTTTTAATTTTCAAAGAAAAATATTATATAGAATATAAATTGACTTATTTACTTGGCCATATAAACAATCTTTTTAATGGCTTATTGCTAAATTTTTCAAATCCATGGTGATTTTTTGTCATGGATATACATATCTATTTTAATAATTACCTATATAATTAAGTAGAAGTAGATAAAAGTAGATTAATTTCATAATATCTTTTAGAAAAGTTTCCTAAAAGCTTTATAGATGTTGCTTTGACTTTACATGTGTTTGTAGTTAATTAATAGACTAGAAACTTGATCAATAAGTTAGCCACATGACATAGATGTTAATAGCTTGTGGAACAAGCCAACTATGTGGCACACATATAGATAACTTGCTTTGTAAGTTAGGTCATATGTTTAGCAAAATGAACACATATTGAAGATCCTATAAAATATGGCTATATAGCTCCTAGTTAGAGAGTATATATGAAGGAAAGAGTGAAGCCTTTTTTATTCTTATGAATGCCTTTCTAGTCCTTAGTCTTGTTTTAAGACTTTTTATTCTTTCTATCTTTGGCAATAGACATTCTAATTCAATATAATACCCTCTTTGAGTAATTTTTTAGTCTTTTTAAGTATTATAAGAATATATTGAGATTATGGTTTTTTGAAATTCATGTCCTTGACATTGTTGCTAATTCCAAAAGTTATTTATATAACTTCTACTATTAATAGAGTAGAACCAACTTCAATATCCAATCAACTACTTTAAAGATAAAATTTAATTTAGTATAACGAATAATTTTCTTATAAAAAATAGAAAATTTACTAAATAAAATTGACTATAAAAATCACTAACTATTGAGACTTCACTATTGTATAACATCTTTTTAATTTGAAATTAATGAAGAAATTCCATTGTGGTTATAAACGTGCTTAAATAAGGACTATTATTGGTGTTTAAGGGACTTATAGCAAACTAAAACTTTTCAAACATAAGATAAAGAATGTGCATCATTCTTATAATAGATATTTAAAAAAATTTATTTCATGGTGGCATGTATATATATATATATATATATATATATATTTAATTTATCTAATTTTATTCTCAAAAAAGTGAAATAAAATAATTTGTACATTTTAAAGATCTTTAGAAGAGACTTTGATGTATAACTTTAGGGTGGAATATTGACCTCTAATATATAATGTCATCATGTAACCAAAGCAAAAAGTACCATTTATCTAAGATTTTACAAACCATTTTTTATGAAGAATCTAAATTTTTTAAAGATATTAATTAGCTTTAATAGCAAAAATAGAAGCAAATTTGGTGCACAAGTTCATCCACTCTATATCAAAAACTTCCTTTGAAGAAGAATTTATTACCTTAGTCTATGCTACAAGAAAGTTGAATCAACCTCCATCTACTCCAAATA